ATATATATATACCTATATACCTATATATATATCACAATACAAATTCTCTTTCTACAGCCTATACGGACAGCCACATACCTGTGAACGTCGCGGTTACATTGAGTTTAGCTGAGCTTTGGAGACTTTCAATGTGTATAGCCCCTCCATCGGATGCGGTGTTGTTTTCGTATGTGCCTGTGATAGTCACGGGACACTCGATCCAGTCCATGAATATAGCGCCACCCATACCTATATATGTATGAATAAGATTGTAAGCATGCTTTTTTATGTCCGCGTAAGTCGGTGTGTAGAGCGCTGCTATCCATTGCAGCGGTTGCTAGCATATACTTAGGCAATAGGTATGCATGCACGATGTATGTATGTGCGTATGTATGCAGGCACGTACGCGAGTATATATATACATATATGGAATACATATATACATACACATACATAATACACATATATACATACCTAAACACTCGTATAGAAGCCTGTTCAAGAACAGCTCACATACCATGGCCGAACTCGAGGTAGTTGTTATTGAATCTCGCCGCTATTGAAACCTTCGTCGATCCGTAACAGCTATTCAGCCACACGGCACCACCACCACTAGACGAAGATAGTCAAAGAGAAGATTACAAGAAGATTATTTAAGAGTCGCCATATGTTATTGGATTATTTGAGATGGAATTGTAAAAGAGGAGTAAAATAATAAATTGCCACCCAAGTTATATCAGACTTTCAGGGCTTCTGTATGAAGCACAACTTTATGTAGTACTAGTAATCAGCAGAACCCAAGGTATGACACAATAGGAAGGCACACAGTCAGCATTTACTGTATCAATAAAGAAGGAACATGTCCAAATTCTGATGTGTATCAATGTGTTCATACTATAGTCATATGAACCTATATATAACATATATATTATGTACACATTCAACTCGCAAGTCTATATAAATCTATGTATATCCACAAAGTATGTACGTCATATAGTTTCATACATAAACATATATATATATATACATATAGATATATAAAGATATATATATATAAAGTAAATGTACATAAGTACCTCCCACGTCTATAAGTATACGTCCATACGCACACACCCCACATACCCAAAACACTCGTCGGGGCACAAGTGTTGGTCCGGACCATCCCACGGTGCAATGCAGTAGGGCTCCACACACCCAGCATCCGATACACTATTGCCAGTAAAGTATGAATCAGAGTCTATCAGCACACTATCCGCGGCCATGTGGATATATATAGCACTGGCACCCTTAGCCGGGGAACGCAGACCCACGAAACCACTTCTGATTACATCCAGCCCTGAATAGTAAGAATATTGGGGTGATATGTGATGTGAGTGGGCCCAGGCAACGCTCTCCCGTAGGAGTATCCCCCGTCCCCCAGTAAGAATTGCAAATAGAGAACGGGTAGCAGAGTTAAGTGTAGGTGTGTATGTACATCATACGGTTAGAATACACAAACACACACACACACACATATATATATATGTAGTCGACTCCGTGCCTATCCCGTCCTTTAAACGGTTTTACTATAAATATATATACATATATATATATATATACATATACATACATATATATATATACATATACATACATACATATATATATATATATATATATATATACAAGAATGTATCGCTTACCAATCCCCTTCTCTGCATACAATGCGATTCCATAGTTGTCTGGTCCGGGCTCCTTGCGTTTGAAGATGAGCGAGTCCAGCGTGATAGACACATACTCTTGAGTATACAGTCTGCGTATGTTAGCATGGAAAGATGGCAATGCTATGTTTAGGTACGAAGATAGGAATGCACGTATACGTCCAAGGACATACATGTGCCGATATAAGGTAGTGACTGTGGAGTTTCACAGACGAAGGTTTCACATAGTGAGGCAGCATATATGCTAGATAAATACGTAAATGTATATGCATGGCATGAATAAGGTATGTATATGGCAAACTGAAAATGCATAAATATATAATATATACCTACACACTATA